CAATCCTTAATCTTGAACTGATAAACTAGAGGGAAGACAGCTACACCACAGCACATCCAATGCCATCTCTCGGAGTACTCTTTTCTAACCAAACACTGAGGCTTGACCTTAACTCTTATGACCTACCCACAGGCCTAAAAGTAAGAAGCGCATTTTTGTGGCCACAGAATGCAAACGACGAATTCTCATATTTACTGTCCGGGTACGCCACCATCAGACCACGACTGGCTCAGGCCTTATTAGCTGTTATGATCAGTAGAAGTAGAAATAAACTTTCTTACTATATTGTGGCATAGAGATGGAGAAAAAGAATGGCTGAATAAAGGTAAATTAAATCTTCAATTCATGCGGTCAGCACAAATGTCGCATTCTCCATGTATCTAAAAGCATACTAAAATGTGTTCTAAATAATTTTCACTTCTTTCTTAAAGTTAAATTTAATACAATATTAAATTTCTAAACGTAAGTATTTTAAGTTTAGATCATTAAAAACGTTAGACATATACCTTAAAGACAAAGAATATCTAAGAAACTTAAGAAAATTATAAGCTATGAAAAGCTTCAGAAATGTATTTTCCAGATTAGAAATTCTTTACCTCCTACAGAAGAAATGATTGAAACAGGTTTTGGAAGGCTAATAAATTGCTAGCTAGCAGAGGGAACTTTCTTTACACCTGTAGAACGCTAGCAGAACTACTTAATATAAATCACCAATACATTTTTACAAATAGTTTAAAACATTTGCCGGATAAGATAACGTCAAAACGCCGAAATGGCACATAGGATCTGGTGCTTAATTTGTACAAGCGGATATGAATGGTTGCAACACATGCCTCCTAGACAGGTTAACACCCAGCTAACAGTTGATACCCAATATACAGCTGACTAGACTGAATTGGGGTAAACAAAAGTATAACGTACAGCAGCCACGAATTCGCAGCCATCTGCCTACACCTCCATATTGCGAAACTATTGCGCCACACTGTCCAATCTAAAAAATGTAAGCAAATAAGAATATTAAAGTTTCCATTTTTGCCAAAGTGTCATATATAAATAGAAATGGCAACTTTGTTACAAAGGCGTTAAATGTTTACCTTACTGCGATCACTTGCCCTGCTGCCAGTTCTATTCCATTCATTTGAGCAATGAAGATGGCAGCTACTGCTTCGTACAGAGCTGTGCCGTCCATGTTGACTGTAGCGCCCACTGGTAGAACAAATCGCGTAACTCGTTTGTCGATATGATTATTTTCTTCTAAGCATCGAAAAGTAATGGGAAGAGTGGCAGCACTGTAAATCAAAAACAAATTAATCAAGGTTAAATTCAGAGTATCAAAAACAGATGAATCATATTAAATCTCCAAACATATTTAATACTAAGTTTTTGTTTTCAACTTACAAATTCCATCAAAGCAATCTGTTACATTACATCCATAATGTACAGTATGTAATATATAACTACAAAATTACAGTACAATGATAAAGGTGGAAGATGTAACCAAGAAGAATACAGAGAGGTACTGAAGTATACAGGGGGTTGAGTACGTTATATTCCAATAATTTTCAATATGTAAATCAGCAAGTCACTTGACAACCACAGTCGGTATGAAGGTGCGGTGGAATGGAATGGATCAGAACTACACTTGACATTCTTTGGTGTTTGAGGTAGTGTGATGCTATCGAAAATTGATAGCTTTTGGAAGGGTATGAATAGCTCTTTTAGACGTAAAAATCCATACACTCAAAAAAGAAACATCTGCAACACAGTCGCATCCCAGCCGTGGTAAACAATGTGTGACGTCTTTTAACAACTGAGATTCCACACTCACAAAGGCCAGAAGCAAAAACCGTTCACGTGCCCTAAACAATAGTACGCTACCTAATCAAGAAATATTTTCATCTGGAAAAGTAACGTGTACAGAAGCTACTTCTATGACATATCCGTTCAAACACTGCATACCTCAAGCAGCTGGAAATGAAACGGGTATTCATGTTATTCCATACGAAGACATGCAGATAAAGTAGTGGGACACAGCGTCTACGGATTTCTGTGCTGGAAAACTGTCGTGATTGTACAGTAGCTGAATTACGGAAAGCACGCAGGAAGAAGTTGTGTGCCTTAAACAGGACACCATTAGAACAGAACCTTTGCAATGAAACTTATGCTTCAGGGCTATTGTCAATATGCACAGTCGTCATTTAGAACGTGGTTGGAAATGATGTCATGAAATATAACTATGTGGATTAGGCTCTGAAATCGATTTAATATAACGTATTCAACCTCTGTAATATCAGCATGTGCAGATAACTATCCACAAAAATCTAGAACATGAAATATATATATGTGTGAAATAAATGCTATCAGAAAATAACAGATAATTCTTTACGTTTGGGCGTTCCTTGTAAATCATTAAACTTTCTTTGATGAATAACTTATAATTTAATGTTTTAAAATTAATATTTTGAAAATTTCAACGAAAAAGTTGATTTCTGTTTTCTCTGTGTACAGAAAAGGAGAAAATTGTTCATTTTAAAGTTTGTAACTTTATCAAGAAACACCGATATGTAAAGTACACTTTGCCAGACATTTGACGTGCAAATTGGCCAGTTATATTTATAATATATCAAAAAAGTATCAGTTCTATATTAAACTCAAAGGAGACCTATAATCAGATATTTGTCGAGTATTTCAAAATATAACATATAGAACAGATTGTAAAGCTCAAACTGCAGTTAATACTCCTGTAAACACACAAACACACACACATAATTGTCATTAACTGATACTTAAATTTTTAAGAAAAGTTATTAAAGTTAAGTTACATTCCATGTTTTTCTATATAGATTGGCCTTTTGTAGGTTCTTCTTTAACATAATGAACAAACAGAATGGAGGATTAATACAGATGTAAGGAAATGGAATTTTAGAATCAAATTTTTTATCATTATTGCAGTAAAAGAGAAGTGACGCCCCTGTAGGAGTGCTTTACTGTTAGACAAAATATAAACATTTCAAATTCTAAAATTGGTAGGTGAAGAAATTTCAGCTTTTCTAGATGTTAGAAATTGTTTAGCTACACTAAAATTATTGTTTTAATATTATCTATAAATTAATTGTAATTAAATAAGTTATTTACGCGAAACAATTCAAGTAACTCGTAATAAACATGTGCAATCAACGATTTACTTTCCAATGCTCATACACAACACCCTGATTCACAGTTCACACATGATTAATGATTGATAAGAAAGGTTATCATAAGCAACTTAAAAGTAACCCGTCATTTTAGATAGCATTCAAGTAATTCAAGTTCTCAAGAATAACGCTTATCTTCACGAGTAATTCACCAACGCTTATTTATAACGCAAGATTAATTAAAAGCTTATTTATGACGCAAGATTAACTCATCAACGCTTATTTATAACGCATTTTGTCTCATGTTTGTTTGCTTTTTTCGAAATAACTAGAATATTGCTAACTATCTAAACTGCTTAAACTCTCAACACACTTGTGAAACATTCTCCAAGAAATATTGAAAATAAATTTAAATTTTCTTCAAGTGTACACTATTTCATAACAGTTGTGTTATTTTTATGGTGCTTCAGTTCCAACTACGTTCTCATCCCCCCCCCAGAGGTATGTCTGCGAACTTACAACCCTAGAAACCAGGTTTTGATACCCGTAGTGAGCAGCGCACAGATAGCCCATTGTGTAACTTTGTGCTTAACTTCAAACAAAATGTTATCATTATTACTGGATGATTGCATTTCGTGGTATTGTCACTAACTGACACTTACATTTTAAAGAAAAATGTTATGTCCTTACTAAAGTTAACTTACATTCTATTATGCCTTGATAATTAATTTCTATATTTAGTAGAGTTGGCTTGCTATATTTGTTTCTACTTAAGTCGCAATCTCTTAAGTCTATCCATCTATCTTCATATATTCAATAATTTTTTATTATTTCGTTTTATATATTATACGTGTGAGGATTATTTGGCATTTTAAATTAGTATATGGATTTAAGGCTAACCTAAATCTCCTAAGCTGTCTGGACATCGTAAGATATTACTGGGATTACGGCCGAAATATCAATAACAATGAGGGTATCTAATTGACAAATGAATGCATTCAAATCGCTGTGAATTTTTCTATTTTTTGTGACAATGCATACTTCTAGTTAGATCGATATATTTTACTAATTAGATTATTTATTGAGTTAATTGTTAGTTCTAGTTTATGTAAGTAGCTTGCTTTGATCAGAGGTTATTGACAAATATAATTATAATATTCAAATATATTATGACTTTATATGATATAAAGTAATTTCTGATACATATAAATATTTAATTGTGAATTAAAGTCATATTTCAGAATGACACGTAAAACATGCGACATGTTATTTGTACATATTCAAAGCACGTGAACAAGGCTGTTTTGATGCATTTCCAAAAAAATTATTAAATTGAAACAAGTTATAACAATTGAACAAACACCCCAAAAAAGACATTAAGTGGCCCACAAGATACATGCACGTGAGATCTCAAAGATTATAGGTTATATTTTAGGCCTTCTACTCATATCCATTCTTGTCAATTTCAGTATTAAACTCATAAGAAACAGGGATTTTTTTTATCTGAAAAAACTTTCATTTCCTATCAATATCAAATTTATAGGTAACGCAATTGCAAAAATAAACAAAAAGCTAAAGGAATTTATATTTCTTATTTATCAAAGTACAGTGGAACTTACGCTAGTATTTTAACGTTCGTGATATAAATAAGATCCCTAGAGAGCCAATGAAAAACATCGTCTGGCTAATAATAATAACATTCTTTACGGATTTAACTTTTTTCCTTCAATTTTCGACCTAAATTAATAAATCTATTTCTTCCCAACACGAAGTTTTGTTCAATGTACTTTAACATGTACATCTTTCAGTCATGGTTATTTTTCATTATCATAAAATGTTTTTCCTTCAATACTCAAATTTTTATTAGACGGATTCACCGTTATAAATACAAAGTGAAAGCTTTAGGCAGTTACTACTTAGGCCTAAAACAGTTCCACTAAAGTTCAGTTACGTCTGTATAGATCTTAAGTCAGTAAAGCTAGGTTTTTACAACTACGTTTTAACTTAGAAATAGTTATCAATCATTCTTTTAATTTACGTTTAACTATTATTAATTGTGTAGTTATCTTTCAATGGTTAGTGTCTTATATATTTTAGTACATAGATAACATTACCCATATGTACCATACGATATTTATGTGCATTTCAATGAGTCTATAGACTAATTCGCTACCTGATGGCTCAATATTTAACTTTAAAAGGACCATGGCTTCCAAATAATTTAAAGCGGTTTCATAAAGAGTGTTGCTTGCGAAATGATAATACAAACAAAGACTAAATAATAAACTCTATAACATTTATTATGCATCAACCTTACTAAAGTTGTAACAAACTGTGGGAATTTAGTTTCATGCCTGGTAAACTCCGTGTTTGTCAGCGAATGTCACTATGTACATGAACACAACACACCTCGAAGCAGTTCCAAGAGCAGTGATCCATGCTTGCAGCATCCCCTTCATGAATGTTAACGGATTCTTCTTGGTGATGACGAAGAAGAGGAGCGGTAAAGTGAGTCCTGCGTGAATAACCAGTCCAGTGATTACAGTCAACATGTATAGTCCCAGCTGCTGGGCTGTTTGGGCTAAATCCTTTATATCCATGATCTTTCCGATTATCAGAGACATGATACCGAATGGTGAGTACCTAAAATATAGAGAAAAAGTGATTAGGTAGATATGTATTAATATACTATTAAGTAGGTTCAGCAATGTCATTGTCTTAAAAAATAAAAGAGTAGGATTATAATAATGCAAAATAACTCTTTTCTTTATTATTAACCGTATTTATATAGAAAACGTGTGGCCATAGTTTTGATCAAAATTAGATCGTATTTCTCGGAATATAATTGAATGAAAAATGTAATAATAACAACCCGTTCATTAAATACCTTCCAAAACTGTTACTTTGGTTGAAATCGATTCGAAAAATGGAGATAAACGCAACGTTGGTTCAAAGCTAAATACTTATTCTCAATAGATAACGATTAGCAGAACTAAGCAGTGTAGGCCACGTTTTGTCAAACCCTTGTCAAAACTGACATATGTAGTGGTTGACAAAAAATGACTCTCTTATAGATCTTGTTAGAGAAAAAGTATTCCCTTACAAGTTTGATTAACAAAATATTTCATTTACAAAACTGACGAAGAAAAATTATTCTTACAAATTTGACTAACAAAACATTTTACTTACACAACTATTAGACAAAAAAAAGTATTGATTGACAAAAATGTTTGCTTCACAGAACAGATGGACAAAAATAGTGTCTCTAACATATTTGATTAACAAAATATTTATTTTTACACAAGTGATTTACGAACAATTTTTCCCTCACAAGTTTGATTAACGAAACAATTCCTTTAGAAAATGGTTAATAAAAAATGTCCCTAACGGGTTGCATCAACAATATATTTCCATTACAAAATTGGTTGACAAAACATTTTCCTCACAAGTTCGATTAACAAAAGGATGACTTAAAAAATGCCCCCAAAAAAGTGATCGTTCTAAGGTTTAATAACAAGAACGTATCATTTGGAGATTTCGTTTACAAAAAAAACTGTCCGTTACATATTTTGGAAAAATAATTTTTTTACGCATTTGTCTCACCACTGTCTATGCTTAATATTCCAACCTCTCATATAATTTTCGTCTTTGTATGTATGGTTTTTCATATAGAATTAAACAAAGCGTCGATAAAGTTCTACAAGTCTGATCGTATTGCCAAATCGTTCAACATAACCTTAAATAAATAATAATACCTATTTATATTTATCCTCGCCATGGGAGCCGATTTCTTTGCTCCTCTTCAGTTATTAAATATTTAATTCAGTTTAAATTTTGTAGATTTATAATAAATTATTGTTTACAGAATTAGAGTACAGTTTGCAACTTACACGTGCACATAAAAAGGTTAATTATAATCATTCAAGGACAACGATTTTTAGTATTCAAAACCGTTGTTACAAGCATGTACTAATTCTAGAATCTATTATTGGATATTGTGCTTACCACATTACTAACACTACAATCCTCATGATGATGTCATTTAGGATCACGAAAAAGTTCACCATAATCTCTCCTTCTTCTCCAAGTTGACCACAAATTACGCCAAAAGCGATGCAAAAGATGATTAAGCCTGTAAAATATCCTAAGCTTAATAGATGTCCAAGTCTGGGATATGTATCACTCTGAATACACATAGAAGACGGTGTCTTTCAGTGAATTTTGATTTGGTACTTCAAGAAAGGAAATAGTAAAATTTGTTTTAAATACGATTTCCTAATCATATGTCTTCTTCATTACAAATTGAACTATCAGTTTCAATATCTCAAGGGCGCCGAAAACAAATTTAGACTGGTGGAGCAGAGAACAATAATAAAATATCACCAAATTATGAAATAAAGGCGTGTCTATTACTATTTCTCTACGCATGCGTATCGGAGTGTATATATTACATGGATATGTGTTTTGTAATAGCTTAATTCTGCTTAAATAACGGAAAGTAATCAATATAAAATTAGTATGTTTTAAAAACTCAACACGATTACTGACTATTATTCATAGAATAAAAAATTGCATTAGTATTACATTTTGTACATATTTTACTTTGCGATACAAGAGGTTATAGTTTCATTGTACAGGTCATTGGTTAGGCCATATTTGGAATATTGTTCAGTCTTGGGCTCATTGCCTAAGGAAATACGTCGAGTTGTTGGAAAGGGTTCAGAGAAGGGTTACTAGAATGGTACCTGGAATGGAGAAGTTGTCATACGAAGAGAGGTTGAAATCTCTCAAATTGTTTTCTCTTGAAAAAAGAAGATTTAGGTTGAGGTGTTTAAGATTGTAAGAGGAATTGATAGTGTTGATGCGTCATCTTTTTTCATACTTAACAGTGAGAATAGTAGGACTAGGGGACAGAAATATAAATTTTGGCAGGGTAAGAGTCATCTTCAGCTAAGACAGTTTCATTTTTTTAACAGGGTGGTTGGCCTTTGGAATGGATTGCCTTCAGATGTTGTAGAGGCAGTAAATTTAAGTGAGTTTAAGAAAAACCTTGGTAAGTATATGAATGATAAGGCTGGCTTTGAGATTTTAAAAATTATTTTAATTTAGTTTAGAGGATAAAACAGCCGAGATGGACCAATAGGTCCCATGTTGTCCCAAAACATCTTATGTGACAATAGATATAACAAAAAATAAACTTCTGGCATAATACAAAGTTACAAGCACCTGACGACAAATTGTTGCCGACCAATGAAAATGCATGAATGGAAGGAAACAACTTTCAATATGTACTTATATATAAATATCATACACATGTCCAAGTTTATACATTTTGTACATCTATTAGGATCATAGCTGTGTAAGCAATATTTATCCTACAATGAGCACACACAATAAACAAATCAGACCAACCTTAACACCATCAATTGGTTTAGAAACAATCAAACAGTAGCAATATTTGACCGACATGTAGTATTGATGGGTAAAGCATCGTTCAGTAACAATGCTATTCAAAACAAGCTTTAGAAACAACATTACTGGCCACATTATTGCTGAGCAAATGCGCCACATGCCCAAATGGTTCCAGCGCCTTTATATTCAATCCTGATATAAAGTGATATGAAAATAAGTACTGTGACGAATTTACTACTATATCTTTATTTTAATATCGATGTTTGTTTAAATTAAATTTATGTTTAGAAATGTACATAACTTACACTGTTACATATAAATAGTCAGGATAAAACTTCATCAAAACCATCAAGGCCTGGTCATGTTATGTCCGATTGTTGGTGCTTGAAAATAAAAGAAAAGGAGACAACACCCAGCTCGTTTGTGTTCACACATGGACGTAGTTTCACCAGATCCTCGATGTTGTTGATTTGGCCATTGATATAAAGGCTGGTGTAGTCAGCGAGAAATTCAGACTTTTCATGTCCATTGGTTCTGTGCCTTTGACAAATGACTCTGCCAGTCTCACACCCATACGTATTCTACGTGATACTGGGGCGACTCAATCACTGTTGTTAGAAGGTTTATTGCCTTTAGATTCGAGTTCTACCATTGGTGAATTTCTTATTGCTCAGGGTATTGAGGGTGGCTTTCTTAATATTCCTCTTCTAACATTTATTTAGCATCAGACCTAATTTCGTTGTGGTTGGAGTAAGACCTACTCTGCCAATTAAGGGTGTATCATTGTTTTGGGGAAACGATTTGGCTGGGGGAAAAAGTTGTTGACGAACCCAAAATGGTTAGTGAGCCGATCACTGTTTCATCTAAAGATGACGTTGTCGTTGAGGAGAATCCCGATGTGTTTCTCTCGTGTTGTGTGACTCAAGCTCAGGCTAAGAAATTAAGCCAAAAACAAATGATAAACACATATTCAGAGGACGATATCATAGATTTGTCTCAGAGATTTTTTGGATCCAACGGGGATCTTGTGGATAATTGTCCTACTGACGATTTCTCAGAGAATGAAAATAATGGACGTGATGAATCTGATTCACTTGGTGAAGTTCCATTTACTAAATGTAAACTGATCTCTTCACTATTTAAATATGCACTCCCAAAGGATGAGCTGGAGAAAGTTCCAAATGGTTATTTTTTTCAAAAATGGTGTGGTTATGAGGAAATGGAGACCAACAGATGTGCCAGCTTCAGAGGACTGGGCTATTGTTTACCAAATTGCTGTTCCCAAAGCATACCATTCTGAAATATTGAAAGTTGCCCATGAACTCCTCATGGTAGGCCAGGTGGTTAGGGTGTTCGACTCGCAATCTGTGGGTCGTGAGTTCGAATCCCCATCACACCAAACATGCTCGCCCTTTCAGCCGTGTGGGTGGTACCATGTAACGGTCAATCCCACTATTCGTTGGTAAAAGAGTAGCCCAAGAGTTGGCGGTGGATGGTGATGACTAGCTGTCTTCCCTCTAGTCTTACAATGCTAAATTAGGGACGGCTAGCGCAGATAGCCCTCGTGTAGCTTTGCGTGAAATCCATAACAAAACAAACAAAACCTCATGGGAGGTCATTTAAGTGTCAACAATACATCTGACAAAATTATAAGACATTTCTTTTGGCCAAAAATCAGGCAAGATGTTTCTCAGTTTTGTAAAATTTGTCATACCTGTCAGTTTGTCTAAAAACATAACCAGAAATTCCTGCTGCTTCTCTTAAAACTATTCCAGCTTTCGAAGAACCCTTCAGTCGTGTGATTGTAGACTGTGTTGGACATTTAACAAAAACTCGATCAGGGAATCAGTATTTGTTGACTATCATGTGTGCATCCACTCGATTCTCTGAAGCTATCCCTTTGAGAAACATTTCAGCCCAAAATATTTCTAACGCTTTGATCAATATCTTTACTTTTGTTGGCTTGCCCAAAGAAATTCATTCTGATCAGGGATCAAATTTTATGTCAGGATTGTTTCAACAAGTTCTTTATCAGCTCGGTGCTAAACAGATCAAATCTAGTGCATATCATCCAGAATCACATAGTGCTCTTGAGAGATTCCATTCTACCTTGAAACATACGATGCAGACTTACTGTCTTGACAACGAGAAGGATTGGAATGAGAGAGTTAACTTATTATTATTTGCTGTTCGTGAGTCGGTTCAGGAGTCGTTAGGGTTTAGCCAATTTGAATTGGTCTTTGGTCATTCATTGCATGCTTCTGTTGAAATTGCTGAAGGAACAATGGTTGGAGGATGACCCGAAAGAAATGCACTTATTGGATTACGTTTCCAAATTTCGGTCCAGACTCTTACGTGCTTGTGAATTGGCTCTAGAAAATTTGAAGTCATCCCAAACTGCACTGAAACCCGTTTATGACCACAAGGCTGAAGTTCTGACCTGATGACATGGTTTTAGTATTATTACCCAGTATGGGAGATCCACTCAAAGAAAAAAAGAAAGAACGAAAGAAAGAAAAAAAAAGACTGTTAAATTGCAATTTATCCCTACGAGAGTATGATTTGGAGATAATCCATGTCAAGGGGTTGATAACATTTGTGCTGATGTACTTTCACGTGCTATGTAATTTTATGGTCAAAAGGTTATTTGTATTGATTATGTTGTATATTGTAATAATTATTGAAGTTGTATAATTCTTTGCATAATGTATTATATTTAATGTATTGTTGTTCATGTATATATATAATATCTTAGTTGAAAATTGTCTAACGCCATTTTTTTAATTCTCTAAGGAGGGAGTTGTGACGGATTTATTATTATATATTTATTTTGATATCGATGTTTGTTTAAATTAAATTTATGTTTAGA